CCTTTTCTCCTTCCACCTCCCTTCCTCTTCCTCCCCTGCTCCCCCTGCTGCCCTCCCCCAGCGCCGACTACCAGGAACGGTTCAACCCCAGCGCCCTGAAGGACTCTGCCCTGTCCACCCACAAGCCCATCGAGGTGAAGGGGCTGGGCGGCAAGGCCACCATCATCCATGCGCAGTACAACACACCCATCAGCATGTACTCCCAGGACGCCATCATGGACGCCATCGCTGGGCAGGCCCAGGCCCAGGGCAGTGACTTCAGTGGGTAAGCGCCTCCCCTCCTCCACTGTCACTCATCGATCAACGCCTCCACCACTGGCTGGGCCTCCTCACCAGTGGAGGCCAAGGGCACCAGGCTGCTGGGCGCCATCAGAGACATTAGGCATCGGGACCAGCTTTCCTCCCTTGCCTTGGGCCTCTAGGGGCATGGCCATTGGAGGGGAGCCAGCCTTTGCCAGGGCCTTCCAGAACACCGTATTCTCTCTTCAGAATCAGTCTCACGGTCAGCTTTAGGAGAAGGGTGGAGAATTGAAGAATATGGTGGTTGCTCCAAGTGCTTCTCACAGCTTCTGCATTTTCCTGGGCTCCACAAGGGGGTCGGTTTAGAAAGAGACTTCTGGAATCCTGGGTCACATTCTGGATAAACCAGTCTTCTCACAAACTAAGCCATTCTTTGGGGGAAGTTGCTGCTTTCTTCCAATGATGAGAGCAATTCAAACGTGTGACTAGGTGTCTTGTTTGGGAAGGGGCCTCTGGACCAACCATCCAAGGTGCTGGTGGTAGTTAGCCCACTGCAGAGCCTGGGAAGCACCCCCTCTTCCTGTTTGTTCCAGGGAAGCCCAGCCTCAGGGCAGTGGGATTTAGGACATCCTTGGTTCCTGGAATTAGCCTGTTAGCAATGGTTGAGGAACTTGAGTGTTGAATAGGGAAAGAGTTGGCTGAAAATCCTTTGTGGAAGAAACTGCTAATAGTGCAAACAGTAATAGGGACCTCGCTCCCTCTTTCTTTCTCTGTCTCTCTCTCTTTCTGTATGTGTCTCTCTGTCTTTATCTCTGGGTCTCTCTTTCTTTCTGCCTCTCTGTATGTCTGTCGGTCTGTTTCTCTCTCTCACAAACACACTCTTATTGTTTTCTACCTGAGAATATCATTGTTGTTGACTTTCAGAATTGACTGATTATCTCTTTGGGCAACATCTTATCCCCAAGTCAGGATCTCAAGCACCTCAAGGCAAGAAATCTTAAAATGATGGTTGTATTTTTTCCCGAAGCTAGGAAATACAGATGTTTTAAGAGGGATAAAGGAGTTTAAAAGTCCGCAATAACTGCCATAGTGTTTGGCCTTTGCGGAACCCAGCCCTCGGGACCAAGACGTCCCTGCAGTTACAAGGGGCAGGCTCCAGGGGCCAAAGGATGGAACGGTGTGTGGACTCCCAGGCTCTCCTCTTCGGCTCTCAGTGCTTCCTTTGGGCCACCAGGGGGCAGAGGTGGCTTGCCCTGGAGCCCTGAATCTCAAACCCACCAGGTTCTGAGCTGTGGCTCTTTGTTCAGACCAGAATATATGACCATGCAAGTTTAAAAACACAACCATTAGCTCATGTGTACCCAGAAAAACAGGGCTGCCTGACTAAGCCAAAAAGCTAACAGGGATTTCCTGTTAACATTTGTTTGCCTCGTGTGTCCTTGGTGTGCTCTCAAGAGTGGTAACGTCGCCAAAGAGAAGTTCAGTGGAAAATAATGGAAGAACTGCTCTTCACTAACTTTATATATTCTGCACTTTGGAAAATACTACCATTTGGTTTTACCACTTTTTTTTTTTTTTAACATGACGCACCATTGACCTAATCTAGGCTTCTCCGAGTACCTCTCCCACCTTCCTCCTATCCCCTCCCCTCCCCTTGCCCTCCCTTCCCCGCGTGCCTGGGAAGCACACGCTCTCCCCTTCCTTCTAACTTAGCCCTGCTGGGCTGACATGACCATGGTGCCGGGGGGCAGGACCTGCCGGCCCCCCTCCCCTGTGCCTTAAGGTGCTCCGTTTCTGCTGTTAATGCCCATGATTCCTTCCTCACTGACAGTTTTCTTTTTGTCTCTTTCTCTTCCTCCTTTATCCACCCCACTCCCATAACTCATTTCTGACCCTAACCCTGCTCCCTTGTGTGCGCGCGGCCCCTCTGCCATCCGCTGACGGACACGCGCTCACTGCTGGGCTTTCTTCTGCTTGGCAGGGCGTCGCCGCTGGTGTAAGTAGACCCCACAGTGTCTGTTCCGCGTCGTGGTCGTCTGTCTGGTCGAGGGATGGTGTGTGGGTTTGGTGGGATATGTCTGAGGACAGCGGTTCTGTCCATGTCCTTCCTCACACCCACCTCACAGCCAAACGACATGCTCAGCAGCCTATACAGGCAAGTGCTTTCGGGGTTTGCCTCAAATAATGTCACTACGGACACGGAAATCAGAGTCATGACATCACCCTGCCTCCCCTGCACCCAAGGCTGGGAGTGGGTCTCCGTGCTGTGCTTTGCGGCGGCTCCCCACAGCCTTTCCCGTCTGCTCTGGGACAGCATAGACCTGAACGTCGGAATCCACGTGGGGCCATTATTCAGGGAAGAGGGTGATGAGGGGGCCTCTTGGAGGCCATTCCCTAGGATCCTCATGGGAGATGGATCTGGAGGAGCCAGCGCCTGCCAGTACCACCCATGGGAGGTGAAAGATGAGTCAGATTTGGGGGCAGTGGACAGTGGGATAAGTGTCCAGAGGTGACCTTGATGTTGTGGTGACTGTGGAATGTTTTTGGTGGCAGGAAGACCATGCTGGGGGTGGTTCCAGAATAGCCTTGGACCCAGGGTCCCAGGACTGTAGGGCCTGTTCCACCCTTTCTCTGGACATACTCTCCCTGAGCCCCGGAGTCTCAAAAGGAACGGGAATTCCTTCCTCTGACTTCTAGCATCTGTCGCGGCAGCAACACAGATCCCTGATCTTTGCACAGCATTGTGGGAAGTGAGACCAACAATGTGAATCCCAAGGGACTCACTCCAGGAAGCTTTCTTGAGCCCTTGGAGCTGTGGAAGGAACAGGCGAGTGCCTCAAGGGCACGTTCCAGAGAAATGGCAGCAAACACCTTCCATCCACTTTCTGGACCACAAAGCTGTGTAGGCAGGCTCAAGGGCAGGGCCTGGGCTTGGGTCTACACCTTCCCTCTCCTATGGCAAAATCCACACTTCCTCCTTCCCTTCTGGCAAACCAAGGAGTCCTGCTACTACCTTCTTACTGCACCTCTCACTCGAGGGCAGCCGACCCTGCCTCTGCTCCTCCCTAGGCCAGAAATGGCCTCTCGAAGTGAAATCCCATTCTCTCTTCTCTGGGAAGCCCCAGCCTCCCACTGCTGGACCCCGGAGGGATCTGCTGGTCTTCCCCATCTGATCCGAGGCTGCCAGTAGCCATAGCTCTTTGGGGGGGGGGTTGGGGAGGGGCAGGGCAGAACCTTCAGGGAAGTAGGGGCAGCTCCGCGAAGTCTTGGTCACCTTTTGTCACCTTTCTCCACCCCTGCTCTTAGAGCCCACTCTGAGCCATACACTGGGGGCCAATCTTGAGAGACTCCCAATCCTGGGAAAGTAGGTCAGTGCTTCCTTCCAGCTCCTTGCAGAGAGGCTAGAAGATGTGGGCCCTGGGGCGGTCCCTCTCCCAGCCAGCTGGCTCTCTGGAGGGCGGGTAGAAGCAGCCCTAGCAGCAGGCAAGGGGAGGCTGGACAGAGTGAGTGCCTGGGCTGGGCCGTGTCTCCAGGTATGGAGCATCTGGGGTGTGCAAGGCCCCAGTGGGCAGAAGTGGCCTCTCTGAGTTGTTTTTGCTGCACAGAGTTTGATGGAGAGGACAGTGGGGTGGGAACCAGGAAGCCTGGGCTCTGACCCAACAGGGTCCCTACATGCTGTCACCTGGAGCTAGCCTCGCTCGACCTCAGTTTCAGCATCTGTAAGGGGAGAGGGCTGGGCCACTGGTCCATAGGGTGAGGAGCCAGGCCGTCATTGCTGTGAACTTGACCCAAGTCCACCCTAATTCCCGGGAGGGTGGGCTGGACAGCCAGGATCCTCCAGCTCTCGTGGCCAGGGTAAGTGGGCACCCATAAGATGCCCTGCAGTCTGAATCAGACTGGGAGGCCCTGGACCCAAGAGATTCTGGGGTCCCTTCTGGCTCTGATGTGGGATTCATTCATTTAAGTAAGTTTTGAGTACCTGCTATGTGCCTAAGGGAGTCTAAGGGAAGGTCACCTGGTCCCCCTCCAAAGGCCTTGCTGCCCTGGAGCAGAGGACCAATGACCTTCTCTGCAGCTCTACTCCCAGCTCCCCCAGGCCAGAACCCACCCACCTACCCCCGCCGCCTCCCACCATCGCGGGCAATGCCAGCCCATCAGCCTGGTTGCCTTATTTCTTGCACCACCTCCCCACCACGCCTGCCCGTGTTTCCTGAGCAGGAGCCCCCAGTCCTCTTCCGGGGCAGGCCTGGCACTGGTGACTCCTTGTTTGGATCCAACAGTGTGAGGAGGACAAAGGACTGACCCTGTAGAAGCCTCTGAGTCCCCCGAAAGGCCCGTCGTCACCCAGCCCCAAACTCAGGAGCTGCTCAGAGAGGGTGAAATTATTTCAAAAGAACTATTCTGCCTCTTTCCTTAAAAGAGATCCAGCCCTCCCCTCTGAGGGGGGCGGCTGGGGTGGGGGTGGGTTTTCAGGTCTGTGTGTGGAGTCGGCCCAGGGTGGGGTGTGGGCTTGACAGGAGGGATCTGAGAGGAATCACTCTCTTGCTGTGGCCACCCTGAGCACTGAGGACCCAGGCCAAGCCCTTGTTGCAGGCTTTCGGATGGCAGTGGGTGGAGGGCATGGTGGGTTGAGACAAGTAGGGGCCACCAACCGGTGTGCAGGGTGTGGGGTTGCGAGCAGATGAGCCGTGGGGGGAGTGCAGAGGACAGGAGCAAGCCTCCAGCCTCGCCCTCACTCACGGCTTCTCTCTGCCCTGTAGGAGCCTTCCTATTAAAGACCTTGCGGTGGACAGCGCCTCCCCGGTGTACCAGGCCGTGATTAAGAACCAGAACAAGCCGGAAGATGAGGCTGACGAGTGGGCCCGCCGCTCCTCCAACCTACAGTCTCGCTCCTTCCGCATCCTGGCCCAGATGACTGGGACAGAATACAGTAAGTGAAGCTGGGGGGGGGCGGGGGGGGAGAGGGGAGGCTTGGCCAGGCAGAGATGCGGAGGGGCCGTGAGGCCTAAAGCCCACAGAAGCCAGGGAGTTGAGCCCCTGCCCTTGAAGATAAGCTGTCCTTGACAGGTAGCTAGTGGCCTGCTGAGCCCCTCTGGGCCCCTTGGGGCAGGCTGCCAATGACATCGGCCCTCTGCCCAGCTCCCTGACTCCAGCGGGGGGGCAGCCCACATGCCATGTGGCTTGCGGGCAAAATGACGGCCCAGAGCTGGGATAAGAGAACCTCACAGGCCACACCTCAGACCACTCCCTCCCAACTGCACCATTTCTCTGGGTCCCCCTTCTCCCGCTGCCCTCTGCCCAGCACACAGCATTCCCCTGCCACGCTTTACAGGCTGGGGGCAATCACTGTTCAGTCACTGGTGGGGTCTCCTATGTTCTCTGCGATTCCTCCTGATCAGCAGTTTTCTACCCACAGTGCAAGACCCTGATGAAGAAGCTTTGCGAAGGTCAAGGTAAGTGCCTGGATTTAGGCTCTGTGGTCTTGTCCCTCCTAACCCAATCCCTCCCCAGGCAGCTCCCAGGTCACATGAATCATGGAAGGAACCTCTCAAGTTTATGTATTTGGAAACTCCTGGCCCCTGAAGGGCTCTAGCAGACGCTGGCTTGGGACTTTCATCCCAGGTCACTGAGGTGGGTGCCTGGAGCTGAGTCTCTATCCCCGGGGCCCAGGCTGCAGGAATAAGGATTCTGGGCTCTCCTGGCTCTGTCCCTGGGCAGGGGCAGGGCTGCTTTGGCCTTTGCTGGGCTGTTGAGAATGAGGGCATCTCTCCCTGTGAGGGCACCGGGCCGGCTGCCTTGCCTGTGCACTCATCGCAGGACCCATCCCCTGTGAGTCTGGAGGCTGGGCACTGGGAAGCAGGCATGCAGAGGGCTGTGCTGGGCATGGGCACCTGACCTTGGGATTCACCTGTCCAGACCTACACGGAGGTATTAGTTCCATAGATTGCTCAAAGCACAATAGCTGCTGCTATAGGCTAGGAGTCTCAGGGTATGGTCCCCCCAACAGTGGCAGGCCTGGGGCCATAGCCACTAACGTACCACCTGCATCCTGCCAGGTGCTCATGGACCTGGGCATGAGGGGGCCACACTGCCCTGGAACCCACTGGAACCTGCTAGGGTGTTCCGTGGTGAAGCCTGGGGCCCTGTATGATTGTGTTTATACTTCCGGCGGCAAATGTTGTGCGTGCTCTTCCTGGGAGAGTCTGCCTTGGGCCAGTGCATCCTGGGGCGGCCTCTCTGTAAGGGGCTGGGGCTCAGAGGTGCCTTGTTATGTGGATCCAAGCTTCCTATACTTGGCTAACCGGAGTGTAGTGATCACAGGATTGCGCCGACAGTGGGGCTCTAGGGTCTGCTCAGAGTTGATGTGGCTTTTATTTTCCAACCTCTATTTTTGCCAATCCAAGCTGCTCCCACTTTTTGGCTGGGGCATCCAAGCAGAAAGTGCAGTCCTCCCAGGCCTGCTAACGAAGGCATGCAGTTCCAGTAACTGTTGTTAACCCTTCAGTGCCTGCAGTGTGTCTACATAGAGCCCAAACTGAGATTTCGTTCGAGTTAGTATCTAGCTACTTCAAGTGTGACTGAGCTGTCGGCTGTCCCCACTCCTATGCTCCATGGCGCTCTTTTGGTTTTGCCACCTTCCTCTTTGAAGCCACCCACATAGATGCTCCAGTGAGCAGTGTAGCTCCCTGACAGAGGGGCTTTACCGCACACCAGCACCCCCCACCCTCCTCCCCGCCCAGCAAACAGCCTTCTGTCAGGAAGCCTGCAGTGTGTTTTCTCTCCCTCCCATGATACCGAGCCCTGCCTCTGGAGTGAGTACTTCTGGTGACGTTTAGTCCCTCTCGCCAGTCACTCTGAGCTCGCACCTCATTAACCAGACACGGTTTAGAAGGCGGAACCTCTGTCTTTCGTATTTCCGTGGGGAATATTTGCAGGCTCTGCAAAGTTCTTGAGTGAGAACACCAAAGCCAGTATGAAGGGGTGTCTCTGGGCCTCGTTGGTCATTCCCTCCTTTCAGAAGCATCTCCCGGGGCTTGTTCTGCCTGGTCCTGGAGATATGTGGGCAGGTTAGTCGTCCCCCCTGGAGCCGAATCCCACAGGAGCATGGCTTAGCCCCCAGCAGGAAGCAGGGGGTCTTGGGATCTTGAGAACTCTGGTGCAGTTCTTGAAGCCTCTCCCCAAGCTACTGAAGGGTTTTCTGTAGGGAAATCTGGAAAGAGGGCCCAACAAGAGGCTCTATCCTGCTTTTCCCTCAGTTCTGGGCCCCCACCCTGAGAAAGCGGCTCCCCCCACCCCGGTACTGCATTGCTGTCAGCCCTGGGGTCTCTGGCCCTGCAGTGAAGGCTCTGGGGCACCCACTAAACCTTCTACCCAGGACTGGAAGGGCATTAGCCTCCAGCTCCTCTCCCTTTTCCTGACTTTAATTTCTGGGAAGTTGCTTTCAAAGCCTTCCACAAAATGTGCCTTCTCCCTGGAGTCACAGGAGGTGGATGCGCATTTTCATCTCGCTGAATCGCCAGCAGCGGGAGGGCCTGAGAGTAAGGCTTGCAGTGGGTGTAGCGATCGCGTTCTGTTTGTGATTAGAGTCTGCAGTAGTGACTGTGGCCACTGGTCACACCCCGGGCTCACCCGAGGGGCCATCTGAGCAGCAGGAAGCACGCTTGTCCCCCCCCCACCCCCGGGTCTGGGTTGGTCAGGGATCTTGCTCCCCAGGAGGCTGAGCCCCACTCCCACATTGGAAGCTGCACTCCCAGACCCTGCTGACCCTTCCTGTTGGTGGAGGGTGGCTGCCTCCTTCTCTTCCTCCCAGTTTAGCAGCACTGACAGGAAGGAATCTCAGTGTCTCTCAAGAAGGCTGTCTCCCCCGGGGCGGGGGGGGCGGTTCACTGCACATGTTTCCAAGTAGCGGACTCCAGCAGAGTTTGCCAACCCCGGGGTGACAGTTGGTACAGGCTTGTACATGTGCAAAGGGGCTTTCTTCTTCCTGTTGCTGGGGGGCGGGGGGCCAGGGAAGCAGGCAGGAATGCCGTGAGCGGTGGCAGGTGCTCTGTTCCAGGACAGCAGTCTGCCTGTCACAGTACCTGTATCCTCCCCCCTCTCCTCTCTCTGCCCCACCTCCCAGGCCTCCCCACCCCCCACCCCAACCCTGCAATAGTCCCGTAGCAGCTCATAGCCCTGCTCTCCTCTCCTCAGGGTCCTGGCTCCTGACGCTGAGGGTGTCTCCAGCAGCTGGTAGCAGGTAGCTTCCCTCTGAGGCTCCAGTGCCCACCTGCTGGCCAGCCTAAGGCAGAGCCTAATCCCCAGGGACCCTCTCCTTAGAGGTGAGGCAGATGCCCTAAATAGTCCAGGCATCTACTGTGGACTTGCCCCCCCCCCGAAAGACCCCCAGCACCTTAGAAACTCTCTAGGCAGGCTGAGACAGCAACCTCCTGCTAGCTCCTACACGGGTGCAGGGAATACTGGGGCTCCTGACCTCCAGCTGAAGTGGCAGAGCCTGAACAGTGCCTCCATCCAAAGGCCAAGCCCTTAATCTCAGAGACATCACACAGCTTCCCTCCGACTTGGGGCATGCATTCCGTGGCTCTGATGGCTCAGAAGGGCCGGTCCATGCTGGGCAGCGCTGACCAGGGCAGAAGCAGAGGCAAGCCTAGTTTGTCCTAGGCAGGGTTTGAATCTTTGAGGCATCTGGTTCCCACTGCTTGGGTGTGACCCTCCCAGAAGACCCCAGTGTGTAACTCAGACATCCCCTGGCCCCCACCTTGGAGCTCAACTGTCTTATCAGAGCAATTTCTGCATTTACCCAATGCTCACCTGTGTAAAGAACTCTGCCCCTCCCTTAGACCCCAAGTGTTAAGGACTAACGTTGATTTGAGTGACAAGTTCACAGAGGAGTGGAAGGTGAGGGTGTCCCTGCACACTCCTCCACAAACAGTGTAAAAACCCTTCCAAGTCCCTACTCCGCGGTGGCCCCATCCATGGTTCTTTTTCCTCTCCCTCCCCTACTTCCAAAAGAGCTCAGGGACTCACTGGTTCCTCCCTCCTCCCCCCTGTGGCCTCCCAGGGCACTCCAGTGTCTTCTTCCCTCCCTCCCTGTGCACAGTCAGCTCTGTCCCAGCTCCTATGGCTGATTCTCCTGGTACCAGCACAGCTCCCAGCCCTCCCGCAAAGGGAACCTTTCATGCAGGTGGCAAAAGTTACCCGTGTTTTGTGGATTTTTCATTCTTGGCGTTCTGCCAGCCTAGCAAGTTTGGAAAACCACACCAGGAGAAACCCTCATGGGTGTCCCAGGACTTCTCGTCCTTTCTCTCCTGCCGGCTCTCCTCTCTCTCTGCCCCCTCTCTTCTTTCCTCTCCTGGATCCTGTCTTGGGCAGGCTATGAATTTACCAACAGCTGCAAGAGAGCAGGCTCACGAGAGTCACCGACTCTCCGGGACTATCTCTGAGCCTGTCACTGAGCCCTGATGACAAAGGCCGTGGGCCTGGCTGGAGAGACTGGCCACGTCTGTGTCCTGGGTGGTCACAGGATGGTTGATTGTGCTACCAGCAGGGCCCCTGCTTCTGCTGTCTTCCTTCCTTCTCCCCGACCTTGGAGACATCCTAGTTAGATCCCAGGTCTGCTGCTGAGTTTCTGTGTGGTTTAAGGCCGTTCTCAAGACGTCTTTGGGCCTTCACTTCCTCTTGGTATCAGGCAAGTTTGGTCTCGGACAGTGGTTTTTCAAAGATGTTGGCAGTCAAACAGAATCTTACGCACAGTGTGCAGGACTCAGCGTGTAGAGGGGGAGTCTGCCACGTAATGCAGATGTGGGGTGGTGGAAAGGTGTGTATGTGGGGGTGCCGGACTGCTAGAGAAATGTAAACCAGCATTGCCCCATCTCTGATTTTCAGAGACCTAATGCTGATCTTCCTGACCTTTATACACTGGCAATTCATTTATTTTTTATTTTTTTTAAAGAATTTATTTGAGAGAGAAAGAGAGTGAGAGAGAGAGAGCCCAAGAGGGGGTAGGGTCAGAGGGAGAAGCAGACTCCCTGCTGAGCAGGGAGCCCGATGTGGGACTCGATCCCGGGACTCCGGGATCATGACCTGAGCCAAAGGCAGTCGTTTAACCAACTGAGCCACCCAGGCACCCCGGCAATTCATTTATTAAACTACTTATCTTGAGATAATTGCAGAACTGGCATGCAGTTGTAAGAAATAATATAGAGATATCCTATACACCCTTTATCCCCCATGGTAACATCTTGCAAAACTACAGTACAAAATCACAACCAGCCTGTGAACACTGGTACAGCCAAACATAGACTATTTCTTTCACCCCAAGGATTCTCCCCCTGTTGCCCGTGTATAGCCACACCTACTTCCCCACCGTGCACACCCTCTCCTTAACCTGTGGCAACCACCAATCTGTTATCTGTTCTCCATTTCTGTAGTTTTATCATTTCAAGTCTGTTGT